AAAGTAAGGGAAGCCCCCCAGTTACAGTTTCTCCCCAGCCCTGCAAATGTTCTTTGGGCTTCATAAATGCTGACAGCATGCACTGTAAAAACTTTCATCAGAAGGACTGTAACAGTGCTTCACAGGCACTGGCCTCTGAGAATCAGTGCAATGGACTCAAACTGAGGTGACAGTGAAATCTGGGTTTCCCAAAGCCTGCTTACATTAGTAGATCCTAATCCATGTCTGCTGCTTGGGGTCTGTGGATGACACAGGTGAAAACCAACTCCCTGCAGTGCTGCAACAAGAGCTAAACACTCGTTCATTGTGGCCAAAACATGGGCTGTTCTGGACCCAGAGCTGTGCAACTGCAAGGGTGTTCGATCCTACCATGTTCTCCCTTTTCTTAGCTAGATCAATTATTCTTAGAATGCCTCTGATGATTTTATCCAGCCTGTTCTTAACAGGAAGAGCTTTACTTTTGAAAAATGGTCACTTAAAGGCATCCTATTCTCTTTGTGGGTCTAACACACGAGTTCAAATGAAAATAGTGGTGCAGTTTTTATGCAGCCTTTCTGGTGAGTTTGGGAGAGCAAAGAAGAGGCACCTCAAGCACTTGCATGCGTTTCTGAAGCCACAGCTGCTCTGTACTCAGTACAGGTCCTACTAAGAGATGATGTACCATCTGGGGACTGGCATAGCCAACCTGCCTCTGCCTGCACCAGTGATGTCCTCTCTTAGGGCTCTGTGCCTGGGGCTAGCAGTTATTGGAAGTTGTTGCTGAGAGCAAGCTGAGAGCTTCTGCTCTCCCCACTGGAGTCAGATTTCAACTGGCTAGATCCCAGATCATGGAAGGTAATCTGTTGCATTCACTGCAGTTTTCGACTTGTCCTTATCTGATATTGGAGACCATATCAGTAGTTTTGCAGCCTTAATTTACAAGTGATTTGCAGTCCCAGTTGTGGGAACAAACAATTCCATGTATAATTTAGAAAATGTGGCCTGTGGAGTCTATTTGCAGTAACCACAATAGTTAAATTACCAGTGTGATTAACTGTAAGAATGAATGTGCGTTCATAAATGCCAGGGTAATTGTTTCTGGTAATTTATTCCACTCCTTACAATATGGCTGCAAGAATCTGAACTAGTGTTTTTCAGATAATATGTTCCATATGTCATAATGGTGACTTAAGAGAAATTTCTTCTTTCTAGGGCAATTAGATTATACTGATTTGGAGAACATTTTCAGTGTTCTTTATTAGAGTTTAGTAAATTGTGAATAAAATTATTTTTGGTGTAGGTGGTCAGAGATGTAGTTAGCAATAAAGTACCCTATTAAACTCTCTTGTTTCCACATCCTTTCATTTGGTAGGATTAAAATCTGTGTTCATGAGGTGTGTATTGTTTTTTATCAGTGAGTATATCTTTTTGTAATGCTATAAAGTTATAAGTAATGTTATAATGTTGTAAGTGTATATGTTATAAAACCAACCCTCACTTTTAGATTGGCAGCAGTTACATGTTTACTTCTGTGTTAGTGTCAGATGTATTCCCAAATTATTAATCTAGCTAGAGACTAGCATCACCTCAGTTGGGTTCATTCAATGGTATGCTTGTTTTCATAAATGTTTTGGGAAATGATCTGTCTTAAAAGAAAAAGAACAACTTTAAAACATGTTGTTGGTTTGTTCCTTTTGGGCTGGGTCCAGTACAGAGTGCAGCCACACAAGTAGCTGAATTAATACAACAGAGAAAGTTTTAATTTCCAGGCATGAATTGGGGAAAACAGTTTGGATTTACAGAGTGGTAAGAACTTCAAATCTACCAGCCACAGCTTGGAAGAATGGCACCAAAGGTCATTTCTTTAACTACTTTTCATTTTCATTGCTTCTTTCAACTTTTAAAGTATTTTAATGCTGAATTTATGACACACAAATTATGGATCATTTAAATACTTTCTTTGCTTTTAAATTGTTTGAGAAATTATAGAATCATTTTTCTAGGGACCGGTGTATTTCTAGTATTGTGAGCAATCAATTGCAGGTGCTTCTCATGTGTATTCTTACATACTAGTTTAGCCAAGTTGAATCTGAAATAATATTTATCTCTGAGGCAGTGGCTCAGAAGTCATGCCTGTGATCTTGGTCTTCTATACTTCTATTCAGAATTGCCATTTTGCTGTTAAAATCTTCCATTCTTATTTCAAGAAGCCTCAATATCATTATTAGGAGCCTTATAGTTGAAAAGTCTGATCTTTCTCTTTTGAGACCATAGGAAAGTTCTGCTTGTTTTTGTTGAAAACTGGAAAATAGTTATTCATGTAACCTCCTCTCAACCCTCCTTAAATTCAATGTTAAGGTCAAAATAATTAGTTTACCACCTATCCTTATACAAAAAAATGGATATGCTCTGAGTGCTATAGCAAAGTTATATTTTCTCAGCTGTCCTTGTCTTCATGTGAACCAGCACACTTATTTCAGTTAAAATGAATGTAGGAAAGTAGTGCTTAAAAATAGGATTCAGAGGGAAGCCAAGAGTGCACACACGTGCCTCTCTGAAGACTTGAATGGCAATTGGACCAGTTCTGCCTTGATTTCACAGTAAATGTATGTGCAACGGATGTGTTGATTTTTTTTTCTGTGAATGTTCTGGCGCAGTAAAGGCATAAAGACGTAGAATTCTAGTTCAGAAAAAAAAATCTGCCTTATTAATTAGTAAAAGTTACTGTATACTCCTTCACATATCATATATTCAAACACAGTTATCCCAAACCTCCAAAACTTTGAGTGGTCTGATAGGAAGAGATTGAAGAATCACGCAAGATGGAGATGTGCTGTTAGATTTGCATGAGAGAATTCGTGTTTGCAATAGTGAATGGCGAATGACCACCATCCAACAACACTGCATGAAAATGAACGCTTACTAGTCAAAAGAGCTCTTACAATGGAAAAGTAGTATCCTTGAATGAAAAGAGCATGGGGCTTTAGGAGTTGTGTTCCTTTTGCATGTAACTATGGCAGAGTGTACCTTTTCTACAAAACTATAGCACATTTTTCTCCTGGCAGTTGTGTGGAAATATTTTTTGATATGAGTGATTGGATTTTAGAACAACCCTGGATCTTGTTGGAAGTCAGCTGCCAGCTTTCATTAATTTGATATCAATAATGAAACCAGCAGATGCTTGGAACAGTACAACCCAACAGAAATGCAATTGTTGACTTCAGCCTTCATTTTTTATATGTCATGTTAGCCTTCTGTCTTTTTTATTTATTGCACCAGATATTGATGAGCATTTTCAGAAGCAGATTTGATGTAGTAAAAAAATTATTTCACTCTGTTGGATACTAAATTCATGTGGATAGTTGAAGTTCTAGAGGAAAATTATTACTTCACTTATTTTTGCATACTGATTAAAAGTTAATGATCTTAAGGAATGTGTAGGAGGCTTGTAATAAGCAATATGATTTGAACCACTCATGATACTTCTGTAGAAATATCTCACTGCTGCTGAATATAGCAAAGTTATTAATCTTTCTTGACAAGGGGCCAGTGGGTTTCGAGTTGGTTTCGGTGTCTATTTCCTACTGCACTAAAATTCCCATGTTCTTTATCTGACCTAACATTCCTTCTGAATGAAGGGCCTGGGATGCTTCAATTGACACTGCAGCCTGCAGGACAGAGGGACACTGAGTGTGGACATCAATGATACTTCTGTTCCCTGAGAGTGCAGGTCTTTTGACACTAAGCCAGCCCTTATGCTCACATGTGCACCTTGGGGGTGGGAGTGCTTATCCCAGGACAACCTCCTCCCTTGCTTATTTGCTTTATCAAATCCCTAGAGCTTCACCAACCCCACAGGTCCAGCAGTTCTTCAGACCTCTGGTACATATCAAGCCAGAGGAGGTGGAAAGGGCAGCAGAAGCTACTATCAACTGCAGATGGCAGCGAGTCCCTTGGTATCCTAGGCTATTGGATACCACTCTACCCTCATTGCATCAATATTTAAGAATTTTGTTATTATTCAATGTCATGTACATTTAGAGTTATTGCTCTTCTATAATATCAGTATGTCACAAATCACTGTCAGTGGGATATTGAACAAATAAATTGGAATTCCTTGAGCCATTGCAAGGAACAGCATTTAAAATCAGAAATGATATGGAGTGTCTGTCTTATTAATGAAAGAACAACTGAAGCTTTATTCCTACTCATTTATCTGTTTGCTTTTTGGGGTGTTTTTTTTTGGTGGTGCTTTCAATATATCTTCCAACTGATGTCTTCATCAAACACTGAAATGCTGCTATATTGAGGTTTTTTTTCCCTTGCCTTATAATCAGGTATCTGTCACTTTGCTGTTTTTACAGCTAAAATTAAACTCTGCAAGCAGATACAAGAATTTTTACTCTTGGAGATGGTAATAGTTTCATATTGTGCATAAGAGTCAATACTGTATTTTTTAGATAGACAGTTAAAGCAGTTAGTTAAATAAGAGTGTGAGAAGAAAGCGTGAGAAGATTCTTGATTTGTTGTTTACTATCCTCACTAATGCATATCTGTAACTTGATTTAGCAGGTAGTGACCAAGTGTTTTTAAATCAAATAATTCATCTGAATTAGAACATTCCTCAGACACTGCAGGTTTTGACATAATGGTGACACTTTAATTAAACTCCTAAGAGGGATGTGTTCATCCAGAGAAAACATTTTAAACACACTACTAGACTATGGATAGTGTAAATCTGGTTACCTCTATGGGCAGACTTCTGTGTGTGTGTATGCTGTCTGCCCTTGGGACACAGGTGGTGACAGAACTAAGGTCCTGAAAAAGAGATTTACAGTGCTGCTTGCCTATTATTAAAAAAATGGTAATTTTAAAATTGAAGTTCTGTTATGGGTCATTAATTTCTGGCTTCGAGTGTTTCTGCCACGTGGGGTGGTGATGTGCCGCCCGTAGTGGGGCTCCACAAGGCTGCCCAGCTGTGACAGCGTGGTGCAGTGGGGGCTTCTCTTCTGTCTCTGCAGAAGCAGGGGGCAAGAAGCTGCGGAGCACCGTCCAGAGGAGCACCGAGACAGGGCTGGCTGTGGAGATGAGGAACTGGATGACCCGTCAGGCCAGCCGGGAGTCAACGGATGGGAGCATGAACAGCTACAGCTCTGAGGGAAAGTAAGCAGCACTTGTAACTCTGGTTACCTGATGTTTCTGCATGAAACTGGCAGTTAGACAAAAGTGCAGTGAGACCTGCAGGTCCTATTTGGTCAGAATTCCCTTCATAAGCTACTGTCATTGATGGACCAAGCCTAAGTCTTCCCCTGTGACCAAAAGAGTCTCCCCTTGTTGAGGAAGGAAGGATGAGGATCATTTCTGCTGCCCCATGAGAAAGGCACGTGGTGGGTCAGAGCACCAGCATATGGTGGGCAGGAGGGGAAGCAGGTGCAGTGCACTGGATAAAAGACAGGAAAGGACAGGTTCTTTTCTGAAAACTCCGTGCATATGTCTGTGCTTTGCAGAGCAAAGCATTTCCAGACTATTTCCAAGTGTCATTCGCTGGGCTTAAGAGTTTTTCTAAGATTCTACTAATTAATCCTGAAGAAATGATCTGGGCAGAATTATGAGGCTGTCATGTATCATGCTTTTCATAAAAGCCCAAGTTAAAGACTTCTGAGTGGAATGTCCAAGACATTGCACCAAAAAGTCTTATTGTGGATAGATTTATTAGTGATATTCACGGCACTGGATGATATAATTATACTGGATGATACACCACCTACACTAGATGATCTATGTATATCTTATACATCCAGTTTGGTGCATTATATGCACTTGAGATGGTCATGTATTTATGGTTGGTCATTACAAATCTCATTAGTTCTTATTGTCTTTTAATGCATCACAGATAATTTATGGCAAGAATGTGAATTTTAAGTTACTTTAGTAATTTGCCACAATAGATTTCAGTTCCATTATTGAGTGGATGTCATTTCCAAAGACATTTTTAACAAAATGTTCATAATGAAGATTTTAAAAGGTGATTTTAAAAATAATGACCAGTATTCAGTCTAATGTAATAATTTTGCTGGATGCATTTGACATTCAGCCATTGAGTTCACATTGACTGAGAAACATGAGCAATTTTACCTTCATGTAACTAAATTCCTGGCAAGGGTATGTGTTAGTATCCTACTGAACTGGTCTCATATGAATACTACAATAATTAATAATGGTCTTTAATATATTGGGAAAAGAGGCCATGAGGGAAAAATATTAACGTGGAAATTAGATACAGTGAGGATTAGTGCTTCCTTCACCTGATTGTTTATGCTGGAGTTTGTTAAACATTGTGAAGTTCCGAAAATTACAGTAACTGTTTGTAATCTTGTCAGTGTAAGTGCCTTGTGAGCTGTAGGACCAAAACCAAGTGCAAATCATCTAGAAAACACAAAAGGACAAATACAAGTGTATTTTTTTATTTTTTGTTGCTTTTTTTTTTTTTTTAGTTTGATCTTCCCTGGTGTGAGGTTGGCTGCAGACAGCCAGTTCAGTGATTTTCTGGATGGACTTGGTCCTGCCCAGCTTGTAGGACGACAGACTTTGGCAACACCATCAATGGGTAAGCATTTATGTCGTATAGGCAGGATATAACTTACTGGGTCTGGTAATTAGAACATAAGAGATTATCTAGTTTCTAAGTCATTATATACGGATTTCCCCTGTGGTTTTGAGCATCTCAGTTAAGACCAAAACTATAACCTCAGTCAAAGCTGAATGTAATTGCGGATGCTTATTAAGGCACTGAAAGGGGCTTTGAAAGTTCAGTATTTTATCTCTTCAGTTTTCCATCTTTAAAATATGTCTAATGAGACCCATCCCTTCTCTGAATCACTTCATAGTATTGAATAAAAAGGGGAATCTAGGTGTACAGTATTTGTTGTTATTGTGCTCACAGACTTTTATATTCACAAGTGATCTTTTCATACCTTGTCTTAAACTAGAGGCATGGTGAGGAGATTTCAGGCATTTTTACAGAGCTGCTTTATACTAATTCCTTTGCTACCTTTTCAATCTGAAATGGTTAAGACCAAAAAAAATTAATTTGAAGTGATAGGGGCATGGGAAATAGGAGACGATGTTATTGCAGGGTTTTTTAACCGTTTACTAATGTAAATAGCAGTGAAGAGGATAAATATTCCATTACCTAGTATGTTAAAATCAAGATCATACTTATTGGTGGGTTGCAGATGATACAAGCCATTAAATATTCATCCTAGAAATTCCCATAGTTTTTAATTTATTTAGGTATTTCTGAATTACAATGCCAGGATTTCTTTTTGTTGTCTAGGAGATATCCAGGTGGGAATGATGGACAAGAAAGGACAACTGGAAGTAGAAATAATCCGAGCCCGTGGCCTTGTTGTAAAACCAGGTTCAAAGACACTGCCAGGTAAGGAAGAAAAATTGCAGCAGCGTAATCCAGCAAATCCCTGGGGCTTTACTGTTCACTTAGGTAAACTGTGGGCTGTTACTGTTCAACTTAGGTAAACTCCTTGCAAATTCACTTAGCAGATTACATTACTGTAAACTGAAATGCATAATGTATTGAAATGGCATACAAAAAAACCAACACTGCTTCAAGAGGAAAGAAAATCAGACTGGTATCTGGGCTATGAGAAGACTTAGAAGTATTTTAGTAATAGCAAATGCATCCTTGGTTATGGTATAGAAAGTAAGGTACGTAATGAAGAAGTACATACGATCTCTAGGGGTGAAGAGGGAATCAACAAGAGCTGTGGAATAGCTACCCACTAGAAAAGTAGACCAGTATTTGATACTTACTCCTTATTTTATAATCTGATGTCCTATAACACCATGTGAAAAGGACAATATAATCATATTTTTAGCAAGCTCTTCTGCTAAAATAGAAATTGTGTCAGAGTCTTTTCTTCACTCATTTTCACCTTGTAGATAATTTTAAATTATTAACAATTTGGAGCATTGATCCAAATCTCACCAAAGTCAATGCAAGTCATTCATGTACTTAACAAACAGGCCTATTTTGCATACTGTACAGTATAGGGATACTATATATAGGAATATGGGATTTTTTTTCCAGGTCAGAATCTGAATTGTTTTATGATAAGAGAGATACAAAAAGATGTAAAGAAAAAATTGTACCAGGGAGAAAAATAAAGAAAATGCATGGATTAGCATGTGGATAAGTGTTAACATTGCTTATGAAGATTTGTTTGCATAAGTTACATATTTTGTAAAAGGCAGCTTTTATCATACGGTGATAGAACAGTGTGTCTGTTATGCAAAAAGATCTCCACTTCTTCTTTAATTATTGTTCTTTATTTTCTTTCTTCTAAGCACCATATGTAAAGGTGTATCTATTAGAAAATGGAGTCTGCATAGCCAAAAAGAAAACAAAGGTAGCAAGAAAAACGCTGGAACCACTTTATCAGCAACTTCTATCATTTGAAGAAAGTCCCCAAGGAAAAGTTTTACAGGTAATTTACATCAATATTCTTCTGAATCTGAAAACATCGTCTGCACAATTTTCACTGAATGAATTCCAAACTTCTTTTCATTATTCATTTGGCAAGTTCTGCTATTTCAAATACTTGTTGAGCAGATAAATCCTACAGTAATAACTGCTGATGTGAGTAGAAACTGCTGAGCAAAAGTAGATTATTATGCTCCTACTGTACCTATGGGCTCTGTCTCTCACTGGACTTTCGTTAGTGTCATGGGTAACTGCTCTGTTACTGCCAGGTCATCTCTGCGACTGCATCATGATTAATGTACACAGAACTAAACTATGTCAGAAGTCAGATATGTCATTCCTTACTATAATTAAATAAGCAGAGACATTTAATGAATCAGACTGAAGTTCTCATAATTTTTGCTAATCTTTTTTCTATTTTCTTGTGTTTCCTTTGCTAACAGATAATTGTTTGGGGAGACTATGGACGTATGGACCACAAATCCTTTATGGGAGTGGCACAGATACTTTTAGATGAACTGGACCTGTCCAACATGGTGATTGGGTGGTTCAAACTCTTCCCTCCTTCTTCCCTAGTAGACCCAACTTTAGCTCCTCTCACTAGAAGAGCTTCCCAATCATCTCTTGAAAGTTCAACAGGACCTTCGTATGCTCGCTCATAGCAGCTGTGAAACTGTTGTCATAGCAACCAGCGTTACAAAAAATAAAATTACAGGTCGCAAACCCTGGTAACACTGCATGCTTAATGTTGTGTCTTCTGAGCCTGTTTCTAGGGCTGCAAAGCGATCCTGTGTTCTCAAGGAAGTTGCACACATTGTGCCCTATGGAAGGCCCTCAGGTGAAAGACTGAAGTCATGAGGAACTGATAGGTTTGGAGTTCAGGGACACTAAGTTTTGGTCCAATCTGAAGCCATGGACTAAACTAAAAGAATCAATCTGTTTCATGCAACAAAAGTCCTTTCAATGGCATATCTGTTTTGTTGCTCCCATTTCTTTATTTATCTGCCCTCCCTTCCTAAGGCTTGGTTATGCCACAGAAATGGAGTTACTCTCCAGTGAAGCCATGTTACAAGTGAGTGGATTAGCAGACGCTGGAAGAAAAGAAGAATGTAAGAATGCTGGAGAAGTCGACTGTTGTTTGAAACAGTTGCTTGAGATCTGAAAACTGTTCATACTGAAAAGGTTCAACACTTAAAGTGGTAGGCTTATACCTCCAGCTATAGATACAGTGAAACCCCAGATATGATGGACTCTAAAAAATAAAGTTCTGTGGATATACTGCACTGTATGAAATTAAAGAAACTTTTTTGCATGGACACAGATTTAGCTGAACACTTAAATTATTTTCTTGGGGCTGCAACTTGCAAAAAAAAAAAAAGATAAAAAATCAGCCATTTTCAATGATTTATATTATTTTTAAAAATAAATTTCACTAGTGCATGGTTTTAAAGGGAAGAGAATGCAACAGGATGATACAAAGACACACCACGTTTATCATTCTTTAAACCAGTCATGGTCTGTATTTTTGCAGACATATAATAAAAATTAAAAAATAATTTCTAGCAAATATTTAAAATTCTGTTTATGTGACAAGAAATAAGTGTAATATATTAAATTTATTTAAATGTAAAAGGTACAAGCCTTGTAAAGTTCAACATAATGTGCAAATTGTATACTTCTTTTACCTCCTCCTTTCTCTATCTCTCCTCCCAGTCTTCCTTCTTCCTTTGGCTCTTTTTCCCCTCTACCTCCCAGGATGATCATCATATTCTAAAATGCCTACCTTTTGACTTACTTGTTAGTCTCTTATGCCCCATTTGGTTCAGGGGTGCAGATTGCTCTGCATTTCTGAATTATTTGAGAAAATATTGTTTAAGAAATTTTTTTTTCAAGCATGTTGAAAAGGATTTTGCAACATGGCTTGGGAGTACATTAATGTAATTCAGCATGTATTTGATAAAGAAGATATTTGAACTTTTTGAAATTTATTGTACAGTGCATGGTAACTTATTTTCATTTTTTCTCACCTTCAAATTGAATTCTGCAGGAAAATACTGGAATCATGTGGCCATTGTAAGATGTCTTCAATAAATTTGTTTTCAGCACCAGCATCTTTCATTCAAAGGTTGAACTATCATTTCTTGAAGGTTTTTGAAAAGATGAAAAATGAAGTACCTGGTTGATCTTTAGGAAATAAATTTAAACACTTTTATTTGCAATAAACCAAATTAATAGCCACATTTTTGCAATTGCGAAAGCAACAAAGGTTACTGATTTGTACAGTTCTGCTGTAAAGTTCAGTTTTCACAGACTACATTTGTGTTGCAAATTACATAAATACGGAATATCGATCTGGAAAATATCAGTCTTTGGTTCATAAAATAGCCTTAAAGAAAGCTTATCAGTACCACCCTGACAGATGTTTGACATTTTTACCAGAACCCTCACTGCAGCCAATGGATCTTCAAAACCTTGTGTTTGTAGCAGGCAGTAACTACCGTTGGGTGGTGCTGCAATTTCAAGCTTCTCATTAAATTACATTATTTAAAGGGAGTGTAACTGGCTAACATTTAATAACAAAATATCCTTTTTTTTTCTGGGTTTTTGTATGCCTTTAATACCTATTTAAGGTTAAATGTTGAAACCTTGCAATAATTTTTTTGAAATATACATTACATTTATCTGTAAGGCCACACAGAATTCTGATTTTATTTTAAAATCTGTTGAACTTTCCCATTAAGAAATTGTCCATGCCTCATACAAGGGCAAAGGTAATAACAGTATCACTTAAAATGCCTTTTACTTTGTGCAATATCATATAAATCAAGATTGTGTCTTGTCTTCAGAGTTTATATAATGGATTATTGTTAAGTTAATGGACAGACTGGTAAAATTATATTTATTGAAATAATTTAGACACCTGTCTACCAGCAGCAAATAAATACTGCTGACATGCAGTCTACAGTATCCCCTAGGATATTAAACAAAAATTACATACTGTGAGATGTGCTCATGCATTCTTGTATGCATAGTCCTATATAAATTATTTCAAATTTTAAAATCAAGGACATGATGCATGGAAGGTTTGTACATACTTGTCATTATGCAGTATTTATTTTAAAAAATGTGGGTTTTTTTTAAATTTTCACATATCTGCAACTTTACTTATGGTTTAGTCATGTAAATAGCACTATTCCAGTGATCACTGCTGTCTTGTACATAGTACGTTTTAAAAAGTCAAAAGGAATTACAGCTGGGGGGACAAACAAAAAGGGCAGATTAGGCCTGTAATAAACACCAACTAATGTAAATCAAACTCATTCTGGTGATGGTATTTAACACTTTAAATAAAACATTTTCTTTACAGACTTGCGTGCAGTGCTTTGTTGCTTCTCTCTCAGATGGTCAGCATCATCCTTCGGTGGAGTTCGTGGCAGACAACACATAAACAAGCAAGCTCTTCGTGTAACAGTACTGCAAGTGAAATGCCATTTTTAAGCCAATATGTTCACTGCCAGAGGTTTTCAGACCGTGTGTGTGCAGAGGCTGGGTCAGCCAGGTATCAGGTTCTGTACTCTGGCCATGCTGAAACAGGCAGGCAGCCTCAGAAGCTGGCTGTAAGCACATGCTGTAAGCTTCCACCCCATCCCATGGATACCACCTAGTATTAGCAGCCTGGTTTTTAATGAGCCAGGCACAAATGAGGACAGAGTACCCATCTGGAAGCAGTGGCTGCTGGGGCTCATGCATTGTATGCAGCAGAGAGTGGGCAATGGTCTGTGATAAAATGCTGTGTCACTCTAATTGTGGGGCTTTTCTTCGTGCCTCTTCTGCAAGGCTTCAAGGCTTAACTAATGAGATGCTCTTGCCATGATGATGGTGAGTGTGTGGGGCCAGCACATGCTAACCAGCACACCACTGCATTCTTGCAGCCTGCTGCTACTGTCAGATAGTTGTTCACAACTGTGTAACTAATTAAAGTGTTTTTATATAGAAGGCTAAATATCAATGCTTTCATGTGACATAAAAGTTAAAGCATTAGATTTCACAGCTTCATAACAAACTTAGGTAATGCTGGGGGGGGGGGTCTAGAGCAATTTGTATTTGTTTCTTTAGCTCATATGTCTGTGCAATTCTCACCTCCCTGTCACCCAAACAGCAAAGAGCAGACACCAAAGCTGTAGGTCTCATAATCTTCCAACTGTGACTATCCTTTCTGTCTCTTTCTTGGTAAATATTTACAGTGAGCTTTTACCAGCTATGCAAGAAAGAAGGTGCACATTTTTCCTGGCAAGAACAGCTCACATTTAGGACAGATTAATGAAAGCTAGCTTTAGCTGGCACAAATGAAGCTAACTTCAGGAATTATTCTCTTCATACCTCCCTATTTTAGATATCTTTTTTGGATGTGATGAATGACTCTGGGAAGATCAGATTCTCTCTCCCTGCTGACCATAGAGGCAGAAAGCAATGAGTGCCTTGGGTTGAATGTTTAACTTCGCAGCAGCTAAGCTTAGGAGAAGCAGACCCATTCTCGACAGGAGAATAAGAACAAAAACTCCATGGTCCTTCATTAGCAAGTCCTGTCTGAACTGCTTGTATAATTATCAGGTCTGAGGGCAGCAGTTAGCTGATGACTGATGAGGGAGGAAATGGCTGGGAATTAATTTCCCAAATCTAACACTGCCATGTCAGTTCACTTCTCAGCCTAGCCCTGGGGAGAAAGAGTAGCAGCCATACTAATTAAACCATAGGGCATTAATGCCCTGAAATATATTTGTCATGAGGTCACACAGAAAGAAAAGAGCATCCTAGATGTGCAGAAAGAGCATGACATAGGACTAAGGAAAAGTTTGTCATAAAAGCCTGTCCTATGTGACTATTCCTGCAATTAAGAAAAGTTTATTAAGTGCCATCCAAAATGTAGGTATTGCTGAACTAGTGTTGGCATGAAGACAGAATGGGTGAGTGACACTGGACCTGGATGACATTAGCTTTATGGACATGGAGGTTTAGGATACCTCAGAGAGGTGGGAGATTTGCATTGGTAGACTGTTTTGAGGGTAAAACTCAAGAGCAGTAGCTGAGTTTGCTTGGCTTGTTCAGATTGGAGAAAAGAAGGCTTTGTAGTCTACAGCTTCCTTAAGGGAGGCCACAGGGGGGTACGTGCTGATCTCCTCTTGGGTGACCATTGATAGGACATAAGGGAATGAAGCTGCATTGAGGGAAGTTCAGATTAGGCATTAGGAAAAGGTTCTTCACTGAGAGGGTGGTCAGTCACTGGAATAAGCTCCCCAGGAAAGTGGTTATGGCACCAAGTCAGGGTTCAGGGAGCATCTGGACAATGCTTTTAGTCATATGGTTTAGTTTTAGGTAGGAGCAAGGAACTGAAGTTGATGCTTCATGTGTCTCTTCCAACTCGAGATACTCTATTATTCCAAGATTGCTCTAGAAAGCTGTTAGCAGGTCTAGTGTAAGAGTTGTTAGCCAAAGTTTCTGTCTAGATGCAGTTTTGGTAAGGTAGAGATCAGTGGTTTAAAGTTGATATTGGTATTAAGGTAACACCATTCACTGAAATGAAAACAAAATAAAATGCCAACACTTACTAGGCCAAAACTCAACCGGTAGGTCCTGCTATGCAAATAGTGCATCTAATGCATGAGGAAAAGACCAGTACTACACTTGCCTGTGCATGTCAACCTAGTTTGAATGCTAGTAGGGGCCAAAATTATTATCCCCTTGATGAGAATAAAAAGTGGATTTAGAGAAGACTGAGGGATGAAGCAGGAATGTGAAATGATTAAAGTAACAATGGGCAGGTATTTTATTGATCCCTTGTTTTGTTTTGGTTAATTAGCACTTTAGCTGCAGCATTCTGGCAGGCAGCTCCCTGAAGATGAGGAAGAGTCACGCTGAGAATGCTCCTGCATGGGAAGCAACTCAGTTAAGATGCTTGGGGACATTTCAAGTACCTTCTTTCAGTCTACTGCACACTGGAAATGACACCAAAAAAATCGTTATGTAGCAGTTTCTCAGTCCATGTTCTGATTCCATACCAACTTCCAAGTTGTGATTTTCCATTTCAGAATCTGAACTCAAGACCTGCTTATTCTCAGATCTGCTTAGACTTTCAGAAGCCTTAGCTACCATCTGCCATGTGCCTGAGACATCATTACACATATTTAGACAGCCACATGCATGAATAAATGAATCCTGCCCTTCACTGTGTTTTGGCTTACTAAGACCAACTATCTGGATGCCAGCAGCTCTGGCTGCCTTAGGAACAGCCCTGCTTAATATGGCACTTTGTCAATAGGTAACTTTATTCTTCACTAGCAAACATACAAGTGTTGGAGAAAAGACATTTTTTATATGTCCTGATGCACTTTGGCCATTGGAAAGGATGGAGCCAGGCTCTTCGCAGTGGCAAACAATGAAAGGACAAGGGGAAATGGGTATAAATTGGAACACAAGAGGTTCCACTTAAACCTGAGAAGAAACTTCTTCTCAGTGAGGGTGACGGAACACTGGAACAGGCTGCCCAGGGAGATTGTGGAATCTCCTTGTTTGGAGACATTCAAAGCCCACCTGGACACGTTCCTGTGTAACCTTATCTAGGTGTTCCTGCTCCGGCAGGGGGATTGGACTAGATGATCTTTTGAGGTCCCTTCCAATCTCTAACGTACTGTGATACTGTGATACTGTGAAAAAAGAGTGAGAGTTAAGAAGAGTACATCTCAGGGTAAGCCAAGAAATGCTTGGGTCACATGAAAGGAACCAGAATACCAAATCAGCTAAAAAGCAGCTGCATCTTTAATCTGCCTTCTAAACGCAAGCCAGGTGCTAGACAAGGAAATGTTGAGTGTAGATACAGAGGTGGTGTGTTCCTGATAGCACCTGAAAGAACCTTAAACCAAAAAACAAAACAAAACAAACAAACAAAAAAAAAAAAAACAAAACCAAAAAAAAAACCCAAAACCCTGTTGGCAAAGCTCTCAACTCTGAAAGTTTCAGTAAGATGAAAAAGATAGAAAGATGAACATTAGAATCCCCATTAACGACATTCCGTCCTAATCCAAGATTTCTTGGTTTTAGTTAGCATAGTGAAGTATCAGTAAAGATCACAGTATCTGTACACCTGTAGGGCTAGTTTTCTTTAGTTGCACCAAAGTTTAGGTAACTAAGAACGTATTTTTATATGCTAATTGTTTTTGTCACCTGCTTAGGCATAGTTTTTACTTCCTTGTTTTCTTTCAGAATGATCTGTAAACTGAGATCAGGACCAAGCTGACTCCCTGTGACCTTTCCACATCTAATATGTGTCTGGTTTATACTTAAAATGTGAGCAGATGCCTTAGGCAACAGATTCAGAATAATGGCATATAGTTTTCTCTGTTCCTCACTCAGCAGCTTTGCTTTCTTAACCAGTGTTGATTAACAAACTCCATTGTGACAGCTGGGTGTCAATGCAGTTTCAGCAAGCCACACTTAAAACCAGAGATGGATACTCAGGCTGTATTTAGACGTCTAATTTGGGTAAAACTCAAAGGGCCAAAATTAAGATCCTTTTTAATTGCACTCAATGGAAGGAGACAGGAGGCCCTCCAGGGTAATTCTAATTTAGGATCCTCTGGTAAGCCATTTTGAGCACCTTTCACTATCAGCTGCATAGGATCTATAAGGCAGTTCAGCTTCCAAGGTAGCCCATGCAAATAGTTACAAAACAACAATGCCACCCTCTGGATAAGGCATAAAGGAATAACCAGTGCTTATTCCCTCAGTATTTTCTGCTCCCAGAAAATGTCTGAGGAAGTCTCTCTCCTGAGACCTTAATTACAGTGAATTTGAATGCTGTGAAGGCAAAAATGGGAAAGGAAAAAGGTACCTGCTGAAGCTTCTCCATCCTCTTATGCAAACCTCAGGATTTTGGGCTAACACTGTGGCTGACCTTGGCCTTGGTGACAAACCATGGGATGAGGATTGGCCATATTTCTATTCTCAGCTACTTGAGTTTCATTTGCAGACAAGCAATATGCAACCTGGCCACTAGAACACTGTGGTAGCATTGTCCTGGTGTCCCTGCCCTGGTTCAGTTTGCAGGCACGGAGACCCAGTAACATGGCTTGCTTTGCATCCATACGTCTGGAGTCTCTTCTCCCTTCCCCTCCCCTCCTCAGGTAAGACTGCCTCTCCCAAACTTCTGGGAATGAAGGCTAGCCTATTCTATTCCCAAAGTGTTTCCTGAGAGAGTGCTATCTGTTATAGAATCATCATAGAATGAATCATAGAATGGTTTGGGTTGGAAGAGACTTTAAAATTGTCCAGTTCCAATCTCCCTGCCATGGGCAGGAACACCTCCCACTAGT